CGCTCCTCGTCCTAAGTATGAGATGTGACGAGAGCTCCCGGCATAGCGAATGATTACTTCACAATTTGGGTGACTTTTCGACATTGCATCATATAGGAACCACACATAGCAGCTTTCGCTGCAGACCGTGGGGTGCGTCGGCGGGGAGGGGGAAGTTGGAGTAGACTCGGCGCCAGGCCGTTCCCTACTAACTGTTGTCCGGCCCGCTTGAGCGGTTGGTGGAAAACGGGCTGGCGCCGCGCCAATCACAGCCCTTTTAACACGCCCCAGCGTCTGCAGCTGAACCGAATGTAAACCTTTCATAACTTACGGCAGTACAGATTGCTCTTGACTTGCAAGATCAACCACTCTCGGCACTTACCCTTCTGATCTCGTAGATGGGTGAAGGGGTGGGGGGGGCAAGAGCAGCTGAGAACGGCTATGCGGCGACGCTGCTATAGCTTTGCTACATCATATCTACTTGTCTGTTCCTCTCACCGAACTCGAATGACTTGTGAAAGGTTTTTCGGATGCTTCGGAGGGGCGGTAAGACAAGGTGGGAGAGAAAGAGCCGACTTAACGTGGCGTAGTCGTGCCTACGATGCCCTCTTACTATCTTTGGCCGTCAAAAAGGACTGGGCGAGTAGATTAGATGGATCTGTGGAGACCGCATATTATCGCTGATAAGGCAGCGTTCAGACTTCGCGACGGCAGCGCTTCGGTCGCGCGTTCGACGCGATCGATGCAGTCGAAAGCATGCGCATCGATCGCGCCGAAGCGCTGCCGTCGCGAAGTCTGAACGCTGCCTACTTGCTGGAGCGGTCAGGGTAACTATGTGACAAATTGAGCGATGAGTGTAATTAAACGCCATAATCCAAATTTGGTGCAAATGGAAAATTGGGCAGCCATTGGTAATGGACAAGGAAGGATAACCATTAATCAGGCTTTTTCAGGACTCTACTATTGGCGTTGGCCATATGCGATTGTCTATTTCTGGTTTTCGCCACACTTGACGTTTTACCATCGAGCGATTCCATCGTTGGCGTTTTCGCCACATTTCAACTATATCTACATGCATATCTGTCTGTATATTCGCACGCTGGCTTCAACATTCTACAAGAGTAGCGTTCTGTGAGTGCCTCAAAGTATAGAGAACAATTTTAGGTCCTCTTCATCCTAAGAAGAAAATTAGGCGCAAGCAGGATTATGGTGACGAAGGGGTAGGTGGGAGGTGGGAGGGGGGGAGTGGTGATGGGTGCATCTCGAAGATTCCTCCTCTAAAAAAGGGACAAATCGGAAGGGCATACACCCTTGTTGTGCGCTCAAGACTCGCTACTAAGGTTTCCTAATGCTCTGGCCTGGCTCCAGGTGGGAACTCGCTGTCTCGGCACTAAAACTGACTTCCAGTTTTGCACCGGACCGGCAGTCGTTCTTCCCATCTGCACCCCTTCACGCCTCTCCCCGTCAGGAACGGACTCTGTTCCAGAAATTATTTTTTTACGTTTCGCGTAGAACATAGATCTTGTAATTCGTAAGGGGAAAATTGTTAGTGTTCAATTGAAAAATCATTTTTCAAGAATTGTCGTCGCTTTCAACGTGGAACGATACATCTGCGTGCTTCACCCGTTTAGCTGTCATCGTATTTGTACCGGAAGGGCGTCACGCTTTGCTATTGCCGCTTGGTAAGTAACTGACTTGTTATATGGTCTTTTCCTCAAAAAATATCTAATCGTTTGTTCTGTAGTAGGCTGGTGAGGAGAGGAGGAGGTCTACCTGTAAGTGGGGGGATTTCACCGCAGTTACCCCGGCAGGTATACTTTACCTTGCCGCATGACGACATTTAGTCGCGGTAGAACAGCCCAGTCAGTTTGACTGTGAGATGGGCAGGCACGACCATCGGGGTTGTGGTCGTTTTCCTGGAAAACTAGCAGACCCTTCTCTATGTCCAGTGCCTCCAATTAGGACCGACCCCATCCGCCACCACTTTCTCAACTTTCTAAATTCTCCGCTAAACCTGCCTACGTGCAGTTTTCCGAAATTTCCGAAAAATTCTGTTTTGCTGAGTCGAGCCGGGGGGGGAGGGGCGAGGCGAGGCGTCAGGATTTAACTATCTATTTTTCATTTTCAACTATCGGAACCAGTAGTTGTATGAGATCTTGCAATTCTTTCGCTCGCAACAAACGACTCATAGGGACGGCGCTCCCTCCCTCGCGGTCAGATACGATTCCCCCTTGTGACCATCACATAACTGATAGCGGTGCCCCGGCTGATGGGGCGTGTGCCTAGCGGGCTGTGTTTGGTGGCGGCGCCAACATCATTCCCCTTTAGTGGCTGAAGCAGGCAGGTGATTAACAACTGGTAAGAAAACGACAGACTGGAGAACGGTACGATACAGTCTAAATGCTTGGCGAAAAAAAGAAGAAAACGGGTCGGCGCTGCGCCAGACGCAGCCGCGTTGACACGCCCGAACATTCGCTGTGAAATAGACTACATATAAATCGGATCGCGTGGTGGTTTCGTAACGACCGGTTGTCGCGCAAATTTGATGTTTGCGGCGAGCGCCTGCAGTGGGAACTGACCGACACACCTGAACTTAATAGATGGAACAGCATTTGATCGATTATTGGTAATCGCATTGATTATTTCAGCATGGTCGTCTCTTTTCTGTGCTCACTGCAATGGCCGTTAGCCTATGAAGTTCGACATTGCTATGAACATATTAGTCAAAACTTCTATTATGTGGTCCTAATGTCCGATAATGAGACCTTGAAGGTGGGTTATTCTGAAATTAATCAGCAAATTCAGCCTCTGAGACTGTGGGAAGTACTAGTTGGAGAAGGCATCTAAAGTAAGGGAAGGTGGACAAGACAATCGCAATTTGTCGCGTCATCGCGCGTGGCATAGGTGCAGCGATGTGAATCATGTAGTCAATTGCAACAGCAGAACCCCAACGAGTCCAGGCGGAGACGACTCCATTACTGGCAATATCTAGTTTTCTCGCCCCCGTCCCTTTCACATTCGAATTGAAATGGCCAGGCAGGGCAACTCGTCCATCGGGCGCGGCGTCGCTCCGCACGCTCACCAGCGCCACATATTACGATTATCTTGTCAAATACCCAAAATGCGAGTGACGTAATACCTACATGTGATAGTGCTTTACCGGGCGCCCTGGTGGAAGCATTCCTGCGTAGATGCGTGTTGGCACGGCGCAACTCGTTTCCACCAATTGTTCCTTTATGGGAGAGGCAGCCATCGATGGTAATAGGCTGGAGCCGCGAAAGCACGTAAGGAAGTTATCACAAGAATGCTGAGTTGTGGGCAAAAGTCGTGCCCCAGGCGGGAGTCGAACCCGCACCTCACGCTTTCCGGGCGAGTGCGCTATCCGTTACGCCACCAGGGCCGCTTTTACCCTCTCAGCTTAACGGCTTTTATGCCGTAGCCTTACAGCACTCACACGTTTAACTTGGTGAGACGGTCAGCCGAAA